CTGGATATATATAGAATCATGGTAGTCTACATCTTGTGTGCTTATCACCTACTCTTTTGGGAACTATATATATATCAATACAAACATGAAGAACTAGAACAGTTCCAGAAAGGCCTCATAAATGATTTGAGGACTGGTGGCTTACTGCAGTGGATAAAGCACTTTGGAAAGAATACTGAACAAAAACATGATTGAATTTTATGAATATGAAGTTTATATACTATATAATCAGGAAACATGGTAATTAGTGTACGACCGCTACCCTTTTCATTGACTAATCAGGGCGATATGCAAATTAACTGCCAACTAAGATGGCGGTTAACCGCCAACAAAGATGGCGGTTAATTTGCATATGTAGGCACAATGCAGGGAGGCGAAAGGGAAAGCAGGAAGAAGCCCCCTATCACTGACAGTGATCGGAAATCCAGGGGGGAGCTAAGAGCCTTTGCCCTGCCCCCCAGCCATGATTGGAGAATCGGGCGCCTTTGCTGCCCTGGGCAGTGATAGTGGGAAGTAGGGGTGGAGCCAGCGATGGGAGCTGGGCACGGGCAAAGCTGGCATTCCCGGGAGCTAGGGGTCCCTTGCCTGGGCCTAAAGTGGAGCCCGCGATCGGGGCGCCGCTGCCGCTGCGGGTCCCCGCTGCCCAGGCCGGATGCCTCGGCCAGAGGTGTTAGGTCTGGGCAGGGGCGGAGCCTGCAACCACGGGGAGCTGGGGGTCCCCTGCCCAGGCCTGACACCTCTGCTGGAGGCCTCAGATGATCAGCGATCGGAGGGTGATGAGGGTGAACTCCTCTGGCCGAGGCATCAGGCCTGGGCGGGGGGCGGAGCCAGCAATCGGAGGGGGCTGGGGGTCCCCTGCCCAGGCCTGATGCCTGGGCCAGAGGCATCAGGCCTGGGTGGGGGGAGGAGCCGGTGATTGGGGGGATATGAGGGTCCCCTTGCCCAGGCCTGAAGCCTGGGTCAGAGGCATCAGGCTTGGGTGGGGGGGGGGACAAGGCCAACAAAGAGGAGATAGGGGGCCCCCCTGCCCCAGGAATGATCTCCGGGCCCGAAGCTATAATCCTGGGTGGGGGTCAGAGCCAGTGATCGGGGGGAGATGGGGGTCTCCTGTCCAAGCCTGACACCTCTGGCTGAGGCATCAGGCCTGGGCGAGGGCGGAGCCAGTGATCGGGGGGAGAGGGGGGTCCCCTGCCCAGGCCTGATTTCTTGGCCAAAAGCATCAGGGCTGGGTGGGGGGCAGAACCAGTGATCGGGGGGAAATGAGGGTCCCCTGCCCAGGCCTGACACCTCTGGCAGAGGCATCAGGCCTGGGCAAGGGGCCGATCCTGCGATTGGAGGGTGATGGGGGTCAACGCCTGAGGGCTCCCAGTATGTGAGAGGGGGCAGGCTGGGCTGAGGGACACCCCCCCCCCACCCAGTGCACGAATTTCGTGCACCGGGCCCCTAGTATACTATATAATCAGGAATGAGTCACCAGACTATCCAACACCAAAACTAAAGGGGATAAGGAACACCTGAACTTTGAAAGAAGCAATTTTAGAACATGAAAGGGGAAATTCTCCTTTACTCCTTGACTTATAAATTTGTTATACCAAGAAGTACTAGAGAGATGAACAAAATAAATGCTATAGGAATTTAGGTAACTGCAATGATAAAGAACTAAGAGAGATAGAGCTGTTTAGGATATATCTGTGATATTTTAATGATGCTGTACTTATGATTATTTTTATCCTTCTACAAAAACATTTCTTGGTTTGTTTAGCAAAGAAGTCTTCTGAACGAACCATACTAGGTCTTTTCTACTATGACAAAACTACATTGTGCCAGTATCTAGCACAGTACTGGTAGAAAGTCGCCTATTAGCCTTTGCTTGAGTTGTTTCCCTCTTGTACTGGAGAGAGGTATGGCCTTTAGAAAATTGATGTTGTTGACTTAATATCTGAATATTTAATTTGGATGAGGAAGTCATTTGAGCAATGCAGATAATTGTCATTAATAAATAAACAAATTGAATGAATTGCTAATAGCAATGGGATGTTAATGTGTATGATGTAATACTGGGTTAAGACTCCTGAGTTCCATTGTGGCTTCTGCTACTGCCCAAGAAATGCTTCATTACCTTTGATAAATAAAGATAAACCAAAACAGATAAACAAGGCTAACCAAGACAGACAGCTGCCTTAATAGGCCGCTTTGGTATTGCTTCAACCCATACTCTTTAAATATGTGTTTAATATTTAGTTAAAGACAGCCTGACAACCACAGAGGAAAGAGGATAGGATCAGTCTTTTTTCTGTTGGCTTGAACAATGTAGTTCTGACCTAAACTTGTACCCTCTGCTTAGTAGAAGACCTCTTTAGTAACCACACTCTACCCCTCTTTGAAGGCAGGTGAGTGAACTTCTGTTGTTACTTGAGCAACTCTCTTAGGAGTCTCCCACCCCCAAGAAATTTCCTGAAAGGATCCTAGTAAGCATAATAATTTCCATTCATTACATTTCAGTATACATATTGATCCAGTATGCAGATTGAGTATACACTTCATGTACAGAATGATGCCTGGAGTTCCACCCTTACTTTAACTCTTCAGATAAAACAAAAAGAAGAGTGCTAGTACTACTATAGCAATAGGCATAGATAGTCACCAGATTGGCATTCCATGAGGGCAGAGATTTTGTGTTACTTCTGTATCCATAACATCTAGCTCAGTGTGGGCAGACAGAGTGTGTTTACTCAATGCTGATGGAAATAGTGCATGGGTGATTGAAGGAAGATAACACTGGGTCACTCTCTGATTCTCTTTATTTGGTCCATAAAGGCACCTTAATGACCACCATACTTTGTTATTACACTGACTCATGGTGAGAATCAATTCATGTTTAAAAGAGGAGGCATCCTGGGAAGAGGGGTATTCATTTCTTGCTAGCCAACAGCATAGGAATTTCAGGTTTTCAAGCCCAACCATTTAAACTATTCTGTTTTTTCTGAACAGCTCAATCTGCATTGTATTAGATTGAGCTATATAAAAAAGCCTATTTTAAACCATTTTTGACCTACAAAGAGGCTAATCATAGTGGAAACTGCATTGTTTTCAGCATGACTTGGTGGAGTACATGGAGGTCAGATTCTGGCGTTCTGTGAAACTTTAGAGAGCCACCTAACTCTCCTATGTCTACTCATTTCATAACTATTGAGCTTCTATTATATGCAAGACTCCGTGGGGAACACTAAGATGTGCGAAACACAGTTTCTGCCTCCTTTAGGCTCACAGTTTACTTGGGGAGATGAAAATTCACCTGCAAAATATTATATCCAAAGCAGTATATGGTGCCCTCAAAGTTGTTTTTTTTTTTTAAAGTAACTTCATCCCCAGCAAGAAATTACTTCCTGCTGCAATAATCAGGAGAGAAATATAGGAGAGGACAGTTGAGCTTGGGCTTAAAGAATGATTAAGTTTCATTAAGCAGAGAATTGAGGAAGGCAGTTCAAGCAAGTCACATGGCAGGAGCAAAGGTGCAGAGGCTAAAAACACCAGCTATTTTTGTGTGGCTGGACAGATGGTTTGTGTGGGTGGGCTGTGGGAGATAAAGCTAGAAACCTGTTTCTTCCATGGCATGTAGTAGGCACTTTTTCATTTGAGTTGCTACACTGAATAAATGAAATAAGGAAGACTGGTAGAAAGAACCTAGAATGGGAATCAGGAGGCCAGACATGAATTTTGTCACCAATTCTGACTCCTTCAAACAAATCACTATGGAGTGGCGTTGTTTTCAACTGTCAAAGGGAGGTAATTTGTCTAGTCCCTAGGTGGTTCTGAGAGTTACAAGGGTGACTTGAGCAATCAGAAGGAAAACCTTGGAAAAGGAAAACTGCTGTATCTTTTCTCCGAACATAAATTGCTATGGATTAAAGTAAATTTAGATATATTTGGTAACAACAAGTCTGTGTACCTTCTCCCTAAAATACTTACTGCAGGATAATCTCATTTCTCACAGTGAAGTAGCTGGGGAGGTGGGAAAAACACAGAATCCAACAATTTTTTTAGATGGAGGCATGGACAGACCATGTGGAAATAGCTGCTCAATGTCAAATGAAAGGCTCATCACCACACCTGAGGGAAGCCAGGGGAGGAAGCCTCCTGGAAGCAGGAGATCAAATGGAAGGATTCATTGAGCCCCAGGAATATCATCAGATTGCAAAAGCTTCCTGGTGTCCTTCCAATTCTGCCCTTGCTCCAGCAGCTCGTGACCCATGCACAGGTTTCTGATGTGGAGCAGGGAGAAGTATTTTTTTCTTTGCCTGAGACTTCCCTGGAGCCAATCGACTTTGGCAGCCAGCCACCAGGGCAGGATGGGTGTGCCTCCATCCTGCTTCTTGGATGATGCTTGCTCTTCTCAGCCAGCTTTCCTCAGCTCTTAGGTCCCAGTGTGGACTCTACCAGGCCAGAGTCTAAGAACAGCTCCACATTTCCTCAATGATACTTGGTTTGATGGATTCTCCTCTGCTGACTCAAAACAGGTTAGATGCCCGCTAAGACATGCCCTATGCAGATCTCAGGAAATGTGGGTTTTTTTGGTGCTTACACTCTGTGGGTATGAGAAGGTTACCATATGGAGTTTTCATTGACACTCCTGACCAGAGTCATGGCCATCTGTCAGGTCCATGACCAGAGGAGCTCATTTCCCACAGTGCAGTGAATTATTCAAGACAATCTAGACCAAACCCTATAGAGCAGAGCCTCAAGGACTCCAGTTTTCATCATGGAGTAATTCTTCAGGTATCTTCCTCCTAAGCGAACATGGAAGCCTCCATCTCAAGTTGAGCTTATGGCTGTTTCAGGAAAGGAAATGAGGACTGAGCAGAGATGCCCTGCATCTGCTGCTTCTGTTCCGTAGGCAAGCCGATTTGGGGCATGTCTCAAATTGGGAAAATCCTGAGCTCCTCCATTCAACCTGTTGTTGAGAAGCACGAGTCACAAAGGGAGAGGTCCAACATATTGGGGAAGTACCTGACATCATGCCGAAGAGCAGTGCTGCTGGTCACCAGGTACGGACAGGATGAAAACAAACATTTCTTCCATCTAAAGAACTAGAGCCACACTTATCTGGACCGTTGAGAAAGTTTCTCCAAAAGTTCAAGTGAATAAGAAATGTTCGGTCTAGGCAAGTTCTGTATCGTGTAAATCTATTGGTCTGGGAAACAATTTCAAATGCCCCCATTTAACTCTGAGGGAAAAAATAACTGTCATTTCCTTGTGTGCCTGTCATTATTATTCCAGAAGGATTGGCTGGTGCTCATGATATGTGTCAGTTATCACAAGATGATGAGTTTCAGAAAATTATTGTTTATGGCAGTTGAGAGTGTGTCAGTGTCCTGCTTTCGTAAAAGAAGATAAAGGTTAGGCCTGAGGTGTAATTCCAAGAAGACAAGCACAAAGCCCGAGGTTGAGCTATTAGGAGGCCTGGCATTTCACAGCAGAGCTGCCATGAGCAACATCAACAATAATTAATAACACCTCGGAATGCAGCAGGGTGTTTGGCTGCCCAGAAAAGCTCTGTCAAGACAGGTGAGGGTCTGGGCCTCAGGTTGTAGATTTGCAGGCTGACGCATGCAGGAGGACCAGGGTCAGATGAGGTCTCTGAATAACAGGGATAAGGATTCTCTTGTCTGACTCCCAATAACATAGTAAGATGAAGTAGTGAGAAGCATATGGACATGCTCTGTAGAGGTCTGTCCCCCAGAAGTTTGCAGTGTATAGATTTGTGTATTTGATTATTCATAGCTTGTTTTGTATAATGATATATATTTATAGTAGATTTATGTCAAGAATGTTATTCTTTTCTCCCATTGTGGATTATACTGAAATTTTTAAGAAGCATGTTTTTAGCATCAGAAATAGTTCAGGATATATATGACGTTTCCACTCCTCAAACAAGGTGAATTTTAATTCTCTGATATTTACCTTCTAGAAATGTGTCCAAAATAATTTTAGTAAAGCACAGTTCCATAAGCAACACAATGGACACTGTTCCATAAGCAACACAATGGACACTGGAATGCTTGGGCAGGATTGTACCCAGGCTTCCTTTGTGTCTGACTATTGGATTCTTCTTCCATATTACCCCTGCCTGCTCTGTTCACTTCTTCACTGTGCCCCTCAGTATTGATGGACTCATTTCCTTTGGAATTGTTTAGCGCATCTGCTTTGTGACACTTCTTTTCTAGTAAGCCCAAAGCTCCCGGGCACTGGGATATGGTGTCTTGTTCACCAGGATTTCCCCATAGCAGGGACTGGTTCTCTCCCATCCAGCCTTGGACACTCATCTGGCAGAGGCACACTCTTCACCTCCTGTCTTCTCCCCAGGCTTCTTGGAGGGGGGCTGCTATTAGCTAACTGGCCTCAGATTACCATCCAACCTCGGGGGTGCAACAGGGCCACAGGCAAATAAGTCTTTATTCACAGTAAAAAAGTTCAGTCATAGCCAAAGCTAATTCACAGACTATGGAGTCCACTAGGAATTATCAGGTGGCTCATCCATTGAGTCTCTCTGTTCTCTCATGTGCTCTCCCTTTTCCCTACCCTTCTTCTCTCTATCTCATGCTTAATTTCTATGAACCAGTCAGAAAGCCTTGAAAGTGGAAGAAAATCTTCTATATCTATCTTGAACATTGTGCACAAGCTAAAATTAAAAAAAAGCAAAATATACTGCCCTGTCTGGTGATGTTCAGTGGTTAGAGCGTTGTCCGAGAACTGAAGGGTTGTGAGTTTGAGTCCCAGTCAAGAGCAAGTACCTGGGTTGGATCCTACCCTGGTTGAGGCACGTGGGGGAGACAACCAATCAATGTTTCTCTCTCACATTGCTGTTTCTCTCCCCCTCCCTCTCTCCCTTCCACTCTCTCTAAAAAAAATTTTTTTTTAAATCAGTGGAAAAAAGTATCCTTGGGTGAGGATTAACAACAGCAACAACAAAGCAAATTATACTGTTAAGCCCTGACATTGCCCTTGAGTCTTTGTAGTCAGTGGGTGGTTTCATTGCTCAAGAGCTGGTAAAGTTGGGAAGTGGACATGGGTGGTGGTGGTGATTGGATGCCCATTAGAGAATATTGGAGCCTTTCTCTGAGCTTCACCTGTAGTATAGCCCAAAATTATTTGGATCCATTTTGGGGCAACTGCTTGGCCTGGAATTGTCCTCTAAGTGTTTTTTTTTAATTGGCTGTATTTAGCAGAGTATAGTTAGTGTTTTTAATAGACTGAAAATGATATCCAGATGCTTCACAAAAGGAGGGGCCCTTCTTCCAATTCCCAGCCTGCCACAGTCATCCTGAGCCTGGTCCCTTCCACTAGACAGTTGCCCTGAGCTCTCTGGGGGTCTACCTTGGGAGACCGTCTGGGAGCTCCAATTGGTCCCAAACCCAAGGAAGGAAGGCGAACCATCTGGAATGCATTGTCCAGATTGGCTCCACATTGCCCAGGCACCCCAACAGCTTTTTGTGACTGTTCAAGGCTTGGATTTAATCCACCAGGCTCTCTAGTCAGAGGCTTCCAGATGTTTCTTTGTCTCCTTCCAGAATTTGGATTCCACAGAGGCACAATAACCTGACTTAGGTGGCAGGCAGGATAAATGTTGGACACCAAGGTCAAACCTCTGGTGAACATCCATGTAGAAAGAGCTATAACCCAGGGCCAATACACATGACCAGTGGCCCCAGATCTCCAGTTCATTTGCCAGCAAGGGTATGAAGGGAGTAAGCTAGGCACTAGGCCTTTGGGAGTGGGCACCTTAGCTGTGGGAACAGGACCTGATTCTAAGTCCCACTGGGTGATGGGGTGAGTGGGCCGGACTGAGCTATTTATGTACTGAAGCAGCAGGGCCAGTGATGTTGGACTGGGGAAGGCAGGGGAAGAGGAAACAATGTAGAGGCTGGTAATCTTCAGCCACAAAGGATAACATGTTTATTATTAGACTAGCACCTCCCTGGCACTCTGGCCAGGCACCAGCCTGAAGTGGTGGGAAAAGCACCAGATTAGAAGTCAGGAATCTCTGTTCTAGTCTGGCTTTAGCTAATAACCATTGTGAGTCCCTGGGTGTGTGCTTTTATTAACTGTTGGGCTTCAGTTTCCTCATCTGTGACGACATCAGGAGGTTGGCCAAAATCAGTGGTTCTCATCAGCATCATTTGGTAACTTACGAGAAATGCAAATCTCAGGCCCCAGCCCAGAGCTACTGAATCAGAAACTCTGGGAGTGGGACCGAGCAATCTCTGTGTTAGCAAACCTCCAATTGATTCTGATGAACAAGGAGTTTGAGAAGCACTGAGCTAAATAATTTCTAAGTGCCTGCATGCTCATACACCTTTGGATCTGTTAGGAGAGATGAAATCAATCTCTCTGTCCCTCTGTTTCTCTCTCTCTACGCGCCACACACACACACACACACACACACACACACACACACACACACACACACCTCAAGCCACATAAAACTTGGCCACCCATAAAATACCAGTCTTCTGATCGTGTAGTTAGAAGCCCCAGGAGCAGGTTCTCACTACATGTCCCAGAAACCCAGACTATGTCCTTTTTCTCTTCAGCCTGTCACTAAAATCAGAGCCTGCCTCCGAAATGGCTACATTAGTGTTCTAGTCAGCAGGTGGCAAATTGTATGGTAAATTCTTGTCTCCCTACCTCCTGCCCAATTAGCCAGAGATAAGATAGGAAGATTTAATCTTTCCCACAAGCAAGGTCACAATCTGGAATCGTAATAGAAGCCAGTTTCCATCCTGACTCCTTGAGGCTGCTCAGCAGCGATTGGCTCGCGGCAGGTGGGTCTGCCTGGTAGCAGGGATATAATAGGCAAAGCGGTGCAGGGAGGAGAACCAAAAGGGAAGAATAGCTGTGCTAAGCCTGTTGCCTTCTAGTTAAAAAAATTATAGATCTATTTATAACCTGTCTTGCTCCACAAAGGATTTGAGGCACTGCCTTCTTCTTGGAAAACCCCTGATGCCAATACTTGGCATCTGAGACTCTGGACTTCCTGCCAGGAGCCAGGGGCCAAGTTTTGTTCACACAGCCTTTTGGAGGGTGCTCCAGGCGGTCTGCTCCAAAGCACCCCTCTATTTGCCCTTCCCTTCCTTCTGCTTGCTCCCAACAGAGAACATGTGGTCTCCATGATCCTGTTTCTTTTTGTTTTTAAGCCACATGACCTACTCCTGCCGTATGTTTTCCCATTCAGAGCAAATAAACAAGATCCCCCAGGAAAATGTTCAAAAGCCCAGCTTGTGGAGTGGTTGCCAAGGTCCATGCTTAGGGGCATTCTTTACCTTCTCTCAGTAATCTGGGCCGAGTGATTGATCACTCATCAGCTGGATACATTCTCTGAGTTGATTTGGGTTGGGAGGGCAGAATTTAAATAATACATGGTAAGTGCCTACAAGAGAACAAGTTCCATAGTAAATGCTTAATAAGTGTCAGCTAAACAAACAAAAATGGACATGCATTGGAACCATCTACATTCTCTTTGGGAGAAAACTGGCTGGTACTGTGGATTCACCTAGGTTTGTCTCCCCGCAACACTAAGAGAAGCCTGTGAGTTCGAATCCACAACTCTGGCCTATTTTTACATTTTCACTTATCTCCTTAGCCCTGAACAGTATTCATCAATTAAATCACTGCTAGTTTTTCTCTTTTTCACAATAAATTATTCCAGTTCCTAAATGAACCTCCACAAAGGAGGCTTATGATAGAGGTTTAGCACATTTATGATGACCCTGGGCGCCTGGGCTAATAAAAACAAGCAGAGATGGCCTCATAGCACTTCTGAAATAAGCTTCCGCATACCAGGTGGTCTTGTTCTGGCTCCCGGAGGCCTTGGCTCCTGCACTTCAGATATGCTCGGGTTGCTGGCACCACCTTTCATCACCTGCTCTGCTCCAAGCGGCCCTCCCTGTGTTGCGGTAGATGCTCCTGCTGCTCCTGCTGTTTGTCCATGACGCTGCCTGCTAGGGTTCTTTTTGAAACTTGACACACCATTTAAATTTTTTTTACA